CATTCAGCTGTTATAGTCATGTTAACTTTATGTTATGCTCTCTGGTGAGCCTTTACAGAGCTGTTACATCCTGAGAAGATCTGATATTTCCTTTAATAAAACCAAAAGTGTTAAAAGTAAAGTTAAAAATGTGATACTGGTGTAAATCCTGCTTATTAGGAAGCAGTGTTGTTTCTTTTTTTGTATATAAAGTATGAACCTATCAAGAAATGACCTGTATGAACCTACTCACAACGTTTTTTGTACTTTTTCAGACTGGAAGCAAAACATATTTTTATGTTGCTTCTTTTCAGATTAGTGGATATTTTGATGTAACATACAGTACCTGCCTTTATGTTGATTTGTTGATACAGCAGCTCTATCTACATCATATTTACATGCATGAAATGTCCCTTTCATTTTGCCGTAACTGCTGTATGTCAGGTTACTGAGGAACAAATGGGGTAAATGTGTGTTCAGAGTAAACAATACAGGGATGTCCGGTACCTTGTTTGGGTGCCTTGACCCATTTATTTCTACTGTGTAGTGATGCTCACTTTAGTGCAGCTCAGTCCATTGATCTCTGATGGGTAAGTTTTTCTTTCTATAGTTTCTTCTTGTGCAAATGCTGCAAAGCTGCCTCTCTGACAGTCAATCTCACACATCTACAACTCAGCACCTGTGTCTCACCTTAATACCTTTCCTGTGATAATGCCCCTCTAGAAGTAGTGTTACCATTCTTATTAATCTCCTTATCTCCTATTAAGGGAGATCACATTGTACGATGTATTTCTAATATGAACTGTTTTACATGAAACACCAAACTGTGATAATTGTGATTAAATTCAGTGTAAACAAATGCCATATGTTTTCACCCCTCAAAAATTCCTGCCCCCCTCTCGCCACCCCATAAATATTTTTCTAGATCCGCCCCTGNAAGAAATGGAAAAGAGAGCTTTGGACACTTTCAGAGGAACACCACCAAGCCACTGGTTTAGATATGTGGATGAAACATGCATCAAAATCTAGCTTAAAGAAGTGGAAGCTTTCACAAGACACATCACCTTAGTTGACCACAACACCAAGTTCACGAGAGAGGTGAAAGAGTATCTTCTTAAAATAAAAAAGAGTTATTTGGAAAGGCATTTCCAGGGAAGGCATGCTAACTATACAGCCCACCACCAAGTTGGGAGTGAGAGAAAAAGTGCGTTTGCAGAACTTCTGGATAAATTAGAAGAGAGCAAAGATAGATTTAAGAAGTGGATTGCATCTCCAAACTCCACTACTGCTGCTGGTTTTGTTGCAAGCATAGAAAACTACCCACAGATCGAACAGATAGCGCTCTTATGCAGGTATGTGAACTTTCTTCAACTTTTTCCCCAAATCCTCAAATTAAAAAATAACACCAAGGAACGTTGGTGATGGACAATGTGGGATTTCATGGTTAGAGAGCTCTTCTCTGATGGCTGTCAGTTCCTGTGTGGTTCCTCATGACTCAGTTAAATCCCCGCAACAGAAACACACCGACCATAGAAAGATTCCATTATAATGTTTCTATAAATTCATCAATAAAACAATACCTAAACTGCACAGTGAAGGGCGTTGAAGCGGCGTGCGGTGAATTCCACGCAATGAGTGCGTTCACTGCTCCTCATGCGACTGTATGATATTTTCAACAGGATAAACATTTAATAATGAATGTTTATAATAAATTTAAACCTAATCCTTTTTTATAGTGAGCTAATACATGTAGAGCCTGTGCTGCCATACAAGGCCTATATAAGACTTTTACATTTTTGCAGCTCCAGGGGGACCTCACTCTCCGTTCTCCTGCT